CTGGGGCCATGTAGCCCTCTTTATACCACCAGTGATTGACACAATGGCATTCAATTTATTTTTGTTGAGCTGAACCAAGCAATAGAAGTTTTAACTCTCAGGTCTAGAATTTAATATTGCTGGAAGTAATTTCTTTCTTTTCATCAGATGGTTAATAGGCTCTACTATTTAAAAATTCATATGTAAAAAGGAGTAATTGTCATGTTAAGTATATGTTATAGATTGAATGAATAATAATATGCAGAGCAGTGAACTTTTTTTAACCTCTCCTTTTATAAAGGAACTAGAGGCCCAGTGCACAAAATTCGTGCATGGGTAGGGTTCCTAGTGGCTGCTGGCTGCCAGCTGGTCCTCCCTTCCCTGGCTGCTGGCAACCAGGGCTTCCACACCACCCCCTGGTGGTCAGCGCACGTCATAGCAAGCTATTGAACTCCCGAGGGGACACTTTGCATATTAGGCTTTTACATAGATAGATAGATAGATAGATAGATAGATAGATAGATAGATGATAGATAGATAGATAGATAGATAGATAGATAGATAGATGTGGGGATAAATAGTGGGATAAATATTTTCACAAACAGATAAAATACCCTACAGATCTGGTTTCATACTTTTGATCTTTGAGTAAAATCAGTATTCACATTGAATGTATAAACTTTGACATGGAGACATCTTTGTCCCTCACTCTTTCTTTTAGGTTATTACCGCACCGAGAGAGATAAGGGCACACAGTATGAACTCTTTTTTAAGAAAGCAGACCTTATGGAATATAGACATGTGACCCTCTTCCGCCCTTTTGGACCTCTCATGAAAGTGAAGAGCGAAATGATTGACATTACTAGATCAGTTATTAACATAATCGTGCCACTTGCTGAAAGAACTGAAGCATTTGCGCAATTTATGCAGAACTTCAGGTAACTCTCAGGGCTTAATGATTTGTCTTAGTGTGCCTGAAAAAAAATTACACTTCACTTATTTGTCTTCACTGAGTATGATTACTTAGAATTACAGGATAATTTTATAGGCTTTAGGGAACTTTACTTTTTGATATTCTCTTTTTTTTAAGCTTGTGTAGCTTATTGTGTTTTTGACAATTTGAACTGTGTAGTAAATTGAGGGTGACAACTAAGAAATTACATTTGATGACCCTTATAAATGTGTGTGAATTCATGTTAGGACAAGTTGAATTTTTAAAAATAACTATTGAGGCATAATTTCCATACAATAAAATCCACATATTTTAGGTATATGGCTTTCATTACTTTTTTTTTTTTTTTTTTACAGAGAGGAAGGGAGAGGGATAGAGAGTTAGAAACATCAATGAGAGAGAAACATCGATCAGCTGCCTCCTGCACACTCCCCACTGGGGATGTGCCCACAACCAAGGTACATACCCTTGGTCGGAATCGAACCCGGGACCCTTCAGTCCACAGGCCGACGCTCCATCCACTGAGCCAAACCGGCCAGGGCAGCTTTCATGACTTTTGACAAATGTATACTCATGTAGCTACCTCCCTAATCAAGATATAGAACATTGCTATCTCCTCAGAAAATTCCCTTAAGGACAATTTGAATCTTAAAATTAAAATAAATTTTAAAAATACAGTAGGTCCTAGGGTTACGTCAGAGATCCGTTCCTGCAGTGCAACGTAACCTAACGCGATTTTCGCTGCAAGTGCAAGTCGGAACCCACCTACATAAGCACCTATGTCACTCACACGGAGCACATACACAGCAGTAATGAAGTGAAACAGTAAAAAAAAATTAAAGATAACAATTCCTGACCTTTACTTGTGGTAAATAAATAATAAAAAACATAAAGTACATATGTACATACGTTGAAATGACGGAACTTTTTTTTTAATAAATAAATGGGAGATGGTGACGCAACCATGAAACGACGTACGTTGAGTCCGACATACCCCGAGGACTGCCTTACAAACATTTAACTAAAAACGGGAGAAAGTTATTCCATGTTGGGAAGCAGAGACTAACAATTTTTGAAAGAATTTTTTGCCATTTAATTTGGATATTTTAAAATGCTGCAGTGTTAAAAGATAACCACATATTAGAATAACTATCTGGAGAGTTTTGCTTATTTGTTTTAATAATTGCCATGTTTTAAATACTGTAATATGCTAGTTTTGATGCTTTGTAAGCCCAGTCTTTATACTCGTATTGAAATTAATGGATTTAAAAGTTAGTTAACACTCTTGTGTAGCAGAATATCTAAAAATCATGCTTCCAAATGAGTCTTGTATGTTTTAAAATAGCTCACTTGAGATCTGATTTCCTAAATCATTTTTTATTGCCTTTCTTGGAATTGCCTTCAGAAGCTACATTATTCTTTACAGTAAATCTCATTCATGGCAAATATTCCCTGATGATAGGTGTAACTTCTGGTACTAGCCAGTCTGAAGACAAAATAATTCTCAAATCAAAAGATAAATATTTATTTATTTGTCTCTGAACTGATCGGACTTAATTCTTTCAGTAGTTTGTATTTTGCTTCTGAAGGCAATACCAAAGCAAAAATTCCCAAAATGTTTGAAGAGTGGCAATGTTGTTGGATTGCTTCCATGGCCTTTCCAGGATTACACTCATTTAAGACATATACATTGCTATTCATTTGCTATGATACCTTTAATAATTCAACAATATTGACACTTTTATATTTACTTAAAACTTCATGTGATTTTCTTTTAAATTAGTAATGCCTCACTCATTTTCTTGTTAAAGCTTCATGTGATTGCTTTCTGAATGAGCAGAGCCTCATATATTTTCTTGAATGAACTTTATTTTTCAATTCTGTTAGGGATGTATGTATTCATCAGGACAAGAGGATTCATCTCACAGTGGTGTATTTTGGTAAAGAAGGACTGTCTAAAGTCAAGTCCATCCTAGAGTCTGTTACAAGGTGGGTGAGCCATGTCCACTTAGAAGTCCTTGTTATATAACGTTAGAAGAGTGAGCATGTCAGATATTTAATGAGTTAATTTGGAATAGTTGCTGTTTAAAAGTTGGCTGAGCATGTGAATGGTGCTGATAAGTTCCTCATTTCACCTCTAGGTTCACTCATGCACCTCTAAGTGACCCATCTTCACTTAACTTCCTAGCAGACAGCCTGGCATGATCAGGGTGCTCTCACTCTGCAGCCCACTCACTTTCTATATGTTTGCCTCCATTTATTACTTCTTTATTTCCTCCTGTTGAACTCTTTCCCTTTTTCTAAATCTAATCCCTTCGCTTTGGTATCATCTCTTGAGCTTGTCCCTTGTTACCTGTCTTTCCATTTCTCCAAGTTCCTTCTCACCCTGTAAACTCTCCCCTTATCCTTACAACACTTCCACTGGACTCTACAGTATCCAGTCGCTATTGTTAGGTTCCTGTCCTTTCATAGCTAAACCTCACAGGACAGTAGTTCTCTAACCAAACAACGCGTATAGTACCTGGCACATAGTAGGTGCTCAGAGGTTAGAAGGAATGAATTAGTAATTCCTTAATACTCCATTATTAATTCCATAGCTCCTCAGCCTTTTCATCTCTAAGGACCTACTTGCCAAATTAAGCTTTTTCTTTGTCATCCTCTTTTATTACTTTTTTGACACCCGATGAGTACTTCTTGAAACGTTCCTCTGCTCTTTGTAAAATGTAAATATTTTGTAAATATACATATTTTATAATGTAAGATATTAAGTTGATTTTCTTTTCTGACTACACCAATTCTGTATCCTTTACTTGCTTCTTTGCCTTTCTGCTAGTTGTGGACACTCCCTAGGAGTCCAGATTTGGTTGGCCATTCAACTAACTTTCACTGAGTCCCACCAGCTAAGTTCGAGGTACCCTAATTAGGAGCCTAACGGGTAGTAGGAATAGGACTGGGCATGGAAGAGGAAATTGTAGTCCCTATTTCTAAGGGCTCTCTCATAGCATTGATGTGTAAAAACAAACATTGCCTTCTCCTGATGGCACTCTTTCAGTTCAGACTAAAACCATTCTCATGATCCCCTGAGATGTTGATGTCTGAGAGCCCACATCTTTCACTCATTCTCTACCTCTGATTAGTCAGTTCCTCTTCTAGGTCCTTTCCTTGCTGCTGTCACCACCTAGGTTCCCTCCCCTGCTTCATTTCTTCCCTTCTTCTCTTCCCTCCTCACCATTTTCAGGTCACCTACTAAGTGGCAAGCACTCACGTTGGTATTCCTTCAGCTGCATTAATCAAAACTCCTCTGTGGTAAATGATGGAAACCTGTCTTGAGCTTGCTTAAGGAAAATTAGTGTTACTGACGAATCTTGAATAATTTGCAGAACTAAAGAGGTCATTACAACCAAATTTGGAGAAGAAAACCAAAACAGCTTTGATATCTTTAGGGACTGGAACCAGAGACTTGAAAATTATCAAAATTCTCTTATCTTCTTGTCTGTTTTTCTTGCATATTGACTTCATTCTCCCCTTGCAGATTGTCTTCTTCCACATGTGAGGTGTGTGGCTGTTGGCAGCTCTGGCTCACTTCTTCTCAGCTTTGCCATTAGAGAGGAAAGAGCTTTCTCCCACATCCAGTTGAGAAAATCCCAGCGAGGAACTTTGCCCACTCTTGAGCCAATCATTATGGCCAGGTGGGGGTATTGTGATTAGCCCAGCTTGAATCTGGTCCCTGCTCCTAGGAAATTACTGTGATTGGGGTGCTCTATGATTACTTCCTCTACTTGCTGCTGGGAGTGTGAGGTGTTGATCAGCAGTTTCCCCAAAAGTAGGAAGAGATTTATATCCCCTAAGAAGGGGAGCATGGCCACTCAGAGCACTTGGAGTCCACTCCATACACTACTTGAGCCTTTGCTTCCATCTCTCCGTTTCCCAGTCTATATTATGGTAAGAGTGTTCTTTCTGAAAGTTCCTTTTTGATCCGACCATACTCTAGTGCAGGATTTCTCCAGTTTTAACATCAGTCACCTGGAAGGCTTATTAAGACACAGATGCTCAGCTGCCCCACTAGCATCTGATCCAGGAGTCTGGGGTGGGACCTGAGAATTTGCATTTCTGACGTGTGCAGGGGAAGCTGATGCTCCGCGTGCAGGGACTTCACAGTGAGAATCTTCCTTGCCTTTAGGACACTGACCAAGATCTTTACCTTCTCATGGAAGGAACTCCTCCGTCTGACCCTTTTCTGTTTTTCTCTCATTGTTCCCATTCTAGGATCCCTCTTTGCCAATTTGATTCATCTGATCCCTGTTCTTTAAATGTTTTATACTTTCTTACCTCATTGCCTTTGAGAATAATTAATTGGAACAACTTTACTCACCACTGAATTCAGGATTTTAACCAAGGCATAACTTAAATTCTAATTCTAACATCATCTCTACTCCAGATAGAAGCAAACTTTGTTTCTCAGAACTGCCGTTTATTCATTTATTCAGCAAACATTTACTGAACTCCTGCTCTATGAAGGACACTGTGTCCATAGTAATGAGCAAAACAGAATCCCTGCTCTCATGGAGCTTACATTCCAGTGGGGAGACTCTCAACTATGTCTGGTGGGACTAAGAAAAGCTAAGCTGAGCCAGGGGATAGAGATGAAAGAGGAGGTTGGAGCTACTTCCCATAGGGTATGAGGGTAGCTCTCTAAGAGGACATTTGAGCAAAGATCTGAAACTCAGTAGAAGAGCATTCTTTGTGTTTATCATTCATGTGGAATGTATTACTTATTACCAAACATTATGGCTGTTTTTCCATGTGTACAGTTCTTATCTTCTCCAATAGGCTTTTAAGATTCTGAAGGGCAGTGGTCCCTCAACATGTATAAGCCTCACACCACCATCATGTTGCCTCACAGGTGGGCATTTAGTGAAGATATGTCCCTGATGATTATACACATGAAGCTGATGATTTCCTTTCCCTATATGAACGTAGAACCAACATAATAATAATATCTGAAATGTAATTGTAAGTTGTAATGAAGGAAGAGAGTTGTTAAACTTGAAGTGGGACTTATAATTTGTTATATGTGCTTTCCTCATAGTGAGTCTAATTTTCACAATTACACCTTGGTCTCATTGAATGAAGAATTTAATCGTGGACGAGGACTAAATGTGGGTGCCCGAGCTTGGGACAAGGGAGAGGTCTTGATGTTTTTCTGTGATGTTGATATATATTTCTCAGCCGAATTCCTTAACAGCTGCCGGTTAAATGCTGAGCCAGGTGCGTAAAATGATAGTAGATGAGCTGAGTGTAGAATTTAGAACAAGGTCAGCATGTTGCATATTTTTAATTAAGTTAATTATGTTTTATAAAAGTTATATTAGGTATAATTTAACAATATTAAGTCAAAAGGTGAAAATGTGTCCCTCTGAAGTTCATACGCCTTGTTCTCTTATGGCCAAATTCTAATGTCTACATTTGAATGCAAATAAACAAATGCAAAGAAATAAAAAGTCTTGAAATTGACAAGGAGGAAGCAGCACCCATCAGAAAAAGAGCCAAGCCAGCTGTGTGGAGATATGGGAGAGTCAAAAGCACTCCATGTCAGGTGATGGCACCGGTACACACACGGGCATTCACACATGCTTGGTCTCCAGACTATGCATGTGGCATGATTTACTATAGTTTGCTTTATGTTATAGATACTTTTAAATGTATGAGCAAATGGCATTTTTATAAATCAAATCTATAAATGCTTTTAAATGTAATTTAAATCTTGAAAAGCTTTTCTGTATTTTAAGAATCTCATAGTGGGGTTTTTCAATGTAGAACTATTTATATCATGCAAATTATTACCACCTTATTAATTAGTTTGGTGGGATGTCAGGAACTCTCTTAGAGCCTATTGAGTAAGCAAGGGTTAGGTTTACTTTTGTTACACCAGACAGCATGAAATTCAAAATGTGTAAATTGAAGGAGATATTTGCTCAATGTGAAAGAAATGGTTTTATATCCAGAAATAGATTTGCCTCTGGGAGACTGAGCTCCTCATCCCTAAGTGGGTTTTAAGGAAAGTGAGATTAGTATCTGCTAGGATTCTTGTAATAAGAAGGCTGCTACCTTACATACAGGGTCCTTGACAACTACTGAGCACTTTATATTATCTCATCTGATTGAGGCCAGTCTTAGCAAGGGGTTCCCCGTTAAGGGGAGATGAGCTAGTTAGTTAGCTGTTAAGGTCCCTTCAGTGCTGTCAAGCTGAATGATAATGACAAGACTTTCTACAGGGGCTGTACATCAGGTATTTTTTATTCTTACCTTTCCAACTTTTCCAAATCTTGTTCAAATGTATCTGTAGTTCTATGTTTTCATTATTCTCTATATATCTATTCTTGTACAGTATTCTTTGGTTTTACTAACTGTTTCTATGGTTAATTTTGAAGGGTGAATTTAACATAAGTTTCTTGGTGACTGCCAAAGTTAACCTGTATATTCCTGCTAATTAGATGAAATAATGAGTAATAAATGGCTCACCTAATGAATAGCTGAGAAAATAGCTTTGTGTATCTCTCCAAAGTCAAGGGAATAAATGTGTGGAGCACCCTTTAGTGTGTTTTTTTCCTCTGTTGTTTTTCAAGGTTATAGTTCCATAGCCTGGCCTACTGATATGTTATAAAATCATCATCATGTTTATCAAATCAGTAGGATGTTCAGTAGCCTGAATATTAATAAAATACAATATTGATATAATAAAATCATCATATGGGATCAAAGAAAGACTTTAACAAAATATTAGTATATATTGTAATATAGATCAGTTCTTCATTTTATGACCTTGTGTGATATAGATGTATATTTTAATTTATAGGTAAGAAGGTGTTTTACCCTGTGGTGTTCAGTCTTTACAACCCTGCCATTGTTTATGCCAATCAGAATGTGCCCCCTCCTGTGGAGCAGCAGCTGGTAAGACTATCGCTGTATTATGAAAGGCCACAAAGATCCTTTCTAGGTTACTTTATATTTGTTTCACAAGTAGAAAACAAAATTTCAATAAAAAACTGTAGTTATTGTAAACACATTTTCATAGTCTCTCTTTGCTAGCCCCATAAAATACTTTGATATTTATTGTTTTAGAATTCTGTCATTCCAGAGGAAAAAAAAGTTTGGGCCACAGAGAAAACTTCATGTTTCAGAATGTGAAAATTTTAGTTATTTTTGCCAACATATTTATAGTAATACTAAAAATAAATTTAAAAAACCTTTTTAACTAGAAATTAAAACTATTAGATAACTAAGAAGGAATAACATACTATTTATTTTTGCCAAAATATTTATAGTAATACTAAAAATAAATTGTAAAAACCTTTTTAACTAGAAATTAAAACTATTAGATAACTAAAAAGGAATAACATACTATAGGAAATTACTTAAAAAGTCATGGCATGGGAATGTCACATGTCAGAACTTATACTAGTACTTACATCAGCATAATAGTTATAGTTACAATAGAGGCCTGGTGCATGGGATTCATGCACTGGTCGGGCTCATCCCGGTTAGCCGAGCTGCGCTCCCACTGTGGGAGTGCACTGACCACCAGGGGCAGCTCCTGCGTTGAGCATCTGCCCCCTGGTGGTCAGTGTGTGTAATAGCAACTGGTCGACCGGTTGTTCTGGTCATTCAGCCTTTCGGTCACTGGGCTTTTATTATATAGGATGAATTTTTAATTTTAAATAACTTACTATGTTAGAATAATTTAGGTTTACAGAAAAGGTGGGAAGATAGTATAAAGTGTTCCTAGATTTCACCCAGTTTCCCCTAATTTTAACATTTTATGTAACCATGGTACATTTGTCAAAATTAAAAAATTAATATTGCTAAGTTACTGCTAGCTACACTATGGAATTTATTAGGATTTCACCAGTTTTTCTACTAATCCCTTTCCTGTTCCAGGATTCAGTCCAGGATACTATATTGCATTTAGCCTAATTTTTTATTGTTAACATTAAGGAAAAATGGAAACAAATGAACTAAGAAATCAATTTAAGATGCTAAAAAATTGAATAACTCAGAGGGAAAAAAGATAATGGCATAAATTCATGAATCAAAAATAATAGTTTGACAAATATAGGAGGTTATTATGTGCAAAAAATTTTTTAATCATAAAGTAGGTAAATTCAAGGTAAAAAGGAAAATACAGCATTGAAATTTATAAGAAAATATTGAAAAAATGAATTTTATATATGTTTTAAAAATTCTAAATAGAAGGAAATATTTGAGAATTTATAAACCATAATATGAACTAAGTTTGTTAGTGTTTTATAAAAGCTGATGTTAGTATTTGGAAAAACTCACTAATGTTTTGTTAGTGAGTTTTTCCAAATTTTCAAAGAAGAGGTAATATTAATGCCATATGATCCACTTAATATATTTTATGAGAACAGTATATCTTCATACCAATACCTGGCAAAGAATGTACACACACACACACCCCTACCTATATCTTATTACTTAGGAACATTGATACATATTGATACAAATAGGGTCAAAATGGCAAATCAAGTACCCATATCTGCCTTATCTAGCATCCTAAGTCCTTTGTAAAAATAAATTAAGAAGAAAAAAGCATATTCGTATTGGAAAATTAGAGAATTACCCTTAATAGTCTAAAAGTTTGAGAAATCTCTGATTAATGGAGGAGAGAACAATCTGGAACATGTTCAGGAGGACATGGTGGAATATGTATTCTGCTTCTCCAGGGGGTTGCTAAGCAGCAGGCATCCCAGAGATTGGCCTGCAGTCTGAGGCAGTCTGTATAGTTCCTGGAGCCAGAAAGTTGGGGCAGGGTACTGAGAATATTGAGTTGTAGGGAGGATAGGGAGCCCCAGAATTCGAAGATGAGCTGCTGTTGATTTGTTGTACCCTAGACCATGTTCAGCCTCCTCCACTGTTACTGGAGAGAGGCCCCTGTAATCATAGCTAACAGCCGTGGGTTTTGAACAGTGATTTTGTAACAAAGGTGAGTAGCAGTTAACTAAGATCAGCCAGACACTTGGGGAAAACCAGTAACATGAAAGAGGCAGGGACTCTGTCACCTCTTACTCACTGCTGTGTCCCAGCTCCCAGAACTATGTCCACAGATTAAACACATTGCATGTGCAGTGGAGTATGAGTAAAATAAAAGAGGGTTATCAGGCTTCAACTTTTATTTGATTCTGGGGACTCAGTATCATCAAAGCCCTGAGTTTCTTTCTTTGCTTGGACTTCAGAAGTGACAGCTTTATTTCAAAGCCGGTTTCCCTCCTAGTGGAAAAGGACTGTAGCAGTTCCAGACGTTGCTATATCCTACACCTGGGATTGGCAAACTTACTCTGTATAGAGCCACATAGAAAATATTTGGGGCTTTACAGGCCATACAGTCCCTGTTGCAATTATTCAACTCTACCATTGTACCATGAAAACAGCCATAGGAAATTTGTAAACAAATGAGTATGACTGTATTCCAATAATAGTATTTACAAAACCTGGTGGCAGGCCAGATTTAGCCCAGAGGTTGAAATGTGCTGACTTCTGCCCTATTCCATCCAAAAAGAGCCAGTTTCTTCTCTAGTTTCTTTAGCTTTCTCAAAGGGACAGGAGGCTTTGTTTTCTAAAGTTCTCAACAACCCTCCCCTTTTTTCTAAAGCCTATTAATGAACCAGTTCCTTACTTAAGTGGGGTGAGACTGTCAGATTGGTATAGAGTCCTCAATGCCCAGTCTGAAGGTACAGGTGGAAGGAGTTTAGTTGAAACTCATAGTTGCATGGGGCCAAAACTGTACATACTCAGGAAGGGCATAGGGGAATGGATGCTGGGTAGGCACCAAATAAGGCCCACTCTGTACACTTGATCACAGTGTATTACAGTATGTGCATCTCTTGTGCTCCTAGATTGAATGAAGGCCCTTGAGGTCAGGCCCCACATTGCTTGATTATTAGTAACCTCAGCTTGCACCTTGTACAGGGCTTGAATTCAAATATATTGAAAGCAGCCAGATCCTTGCTTCTGGGGATTACTTAACAAGGTGTGGGGAAAGAGTAGGTTTATAGTTGTGAATATGCAAAACACAGTTTATTCTTGTATTATTAGTTATTAATTATTATTTTCCATATAAACAACTGTAAACCTTTTCCCCCCACTCTATATTTTTTGGTTTTATAAGGATTTAATAATATAAATACATGTTTTCATTATCAGCCTTATAAATGACTGGAAAATTATTTGGAAAGCATTAATTTTTTATTGTTGATTAAAACTTTTTCTAGTCCTTAAGGGACTAATTTTATTTATTTATCTTTCTCTAACGTAAGGTTCACAAAAAGGATTCAGGCTTTTGGCGAGATTTTGGCTTTGGAATGACTTGTCAGTACCGATCAGATTTCCTGACCATTGGTAAGTATACCTTACATTTAAGGATGGGACTTTATGAATTTACAGTACTACCTTATGGCAATTTCTAAAAAGTTTCAGATTTGAGTATTTTTCTATTAAATTATAAATGTCTGAGAATAGCTGTAAAGAGGAGTCTGGATATAGGAAAGGCAACGTGAGTTTATAATTATATTGTCTTTAAATAGCAAAAATGAGGTCATAAAGATAAAATAAAAGTGTAATATATTATTGTTTCTTTAAAACGCTAGTTTTGATATCTGTGTGACTTGTTACCATATTTGCAGTTGATTTGAATTCTCTAACAACAGATCTGTTGTAATCATGGATTGTTACAGCAGAAAGTAATGTTGAGTTATCTAGTCCAAAGGCTTTTATATTTTTTATTGAGAAATGAAACCCCCTTTAATTGTCTATTGAACTGTTATGCAAAATTCTAGTATCTAAAACAAATGAAAAAATAGCTGCTCTCTCTGACTCTGGTTGAATTTAGAATTGGGGTGGGCGGGGCTGGGAGTTACTAGCTTAGTCCCCTAAACCAGAGATGACCATGAAGAATTTGATTGAAGCTTCCTGCCCCACCTCGACTCCATTCTTACCCAGCAGAAAATAGTGTCAGTGCAGTTTCAGAAAGCAGGGTGAGACTTCCAGTCATGATGGCAAAGTAGGTGAACGCTGTGTTTGCCTGCTCCCACAATTACATCAAAACTACAACTAAATTACAGAACAACCACCCTTGAGAACCACCTGAAGACTAGGTAAACAGAACTCATATATAAGGATATAAAGAAGAAACCATGTCGGGACTGTTAACTGGACAGAGTTGTATAACAGGCTAGTTCACACTCACATGTGAATTAGGAGGGATATTTTGTCCATAGAGGTCCCCCCTGAGGAACAAGGGATCCCAGCCCCAAACCAGGCTCTGCAGCCCAGACCACCAGTGCTAGGGGCAGCAGCTTAAGAAACGCCAACTACAAATAGGAACTGAACTGTAGGGCTTTGGGGTGAGCACTGGAGGGGCAGATCTGTCCAAAACAAGTGCTGGCAGGCACCATTTTCCTTTGTTGAGCCCTTCCCCCACCCAGCCTGCAGGTGCAGGCAGGTGACAAATCTGAGTCTGCATGAAACTAGATAACACAGTTCCTACCACCCTAGTGATGTCCTGAGACCCCGCCCCACCCAACCTGTGCACCGGCCTGAACATCTTTGAGCAACTGTTCCTCACAAGCAATGGGCTGCAACCCATGCTGTGAATTCCCTTAAATCTCTGAAAAGTCCCCATACCCCAGACAAGCATCAACTGGCCTCAGCATGCCCTGTACTTCTTGCTAAGCGACCCTCAGCCTGGCACTAACAGCAGCCTGCCTTGATTCACAGCATAACCACACCCAGGTGCCTCCAAGCCCAGAACAGGCAGCTACCAAGAATTGATCACTTTGTACCTCCTACCAAGTGGCCTCAGGCAGGGTATAGGCAGAGGCTGACCTGGGCCTGCACTGAAGCCCCTCCCAAGAGGCCCCAGGACCAACAGAACTAAATGCCATCTTTCTTGTATGGAGACCACACTAGAGCACCAACCAATTAGCTCCAAAAAGACACACCGAAAGGGTGGGCTCCAAAGAAACCAGAGTCCCACTACAGCAAATCCCACTCAGCAGCTCATCCTCTGTAATCACAGCCAATCCTCACAGCCAGTCAGTTAGAGAGTCAGTTCTACCTGCTGGAGTGCCAACAGCAATCAAGACTCAACTACAACGGATGAGAACACACAACCCACACAAAGGACAGCCCTGGAGCACCAGGCTCAGGTGACGAGGGAGACAGTGCCACTGGGCCCCACAAGAAACCTACTACAAAAGGCCAACCTGCCAAGACTTGGAGATGTAGCAGATCTACCTAAAATGTACAAACAGAGAGGCAGCCAAAATGACATGTCCCAAATGAAAGAACAGGACAAAAGTTGAGAAAACGAACTAAACAAAAAGGAGGAAAGCATTCTACCAGATACAGAGGTGAAAACATTATAAGGATGCTCAATGAACTTAGGGGAAGAATAGATGAACAAGTAAGACCTTACACAAGGGCCCTAACCGGTTTGGCTCAGTGGATAGAGCGTTGGACTGCAGACTCAAAGGTCCCAGGTTCGATTCCGGTCAAGGGCATGTACCTTAGCTGCGGGCATATCCCCAGTAGGGGATGTGTAGGAGGCAGCTGATCGATGTTTCTCTCTCATCGATGTTTCTCTCTATCCCTCTCCCTTCCTCTCTGTAAAAAATCAATAAAATATATTTAAAAAAAAAAAAAAAAGACCTTACACAAGGGGACAGAAATCATAAAAAAAGAACTAGTCAGCGGCCTAAGTGGAAGTTACACTTACCTCTTCCCAGTACCAAACTGAATTACAATAAAAATATAGAACAATCAACCTGAATAACCAACTGAAGACTGGCTGAACAGAATTCTTATGCTCACAGGTTTACAGAAGAAGCCACATAGAGACTGGCAGGAAGGGCAGAGGCACAGAAAGGGCTGAGCCACTTCCATTGGTGTTGGCTGAGATTCCTGAGGGATATCTCAGCTACAGAGGTTCCCCCTTACGAGTATGGGTCTCAACCCCACACTGGTTCCCCAGTCCAGACCACCACGTGTTGTGTGGAAGCAGCACCCACATAACCTCTGGCTGTGAAAGTCAGCAGGGATTCTGACCTCCAGGGCAAGACGGAGTCTGCTAGAGACCTAGCACCCTTCTAAAAGGTTAGCACACAAGATCTCATTCGCAGCCACTGCCTGGGCTCTGGCAGAAGGAAGGCAGAGCTGATGAGAATCCTGTGAAGACAGACTGGGTTTTGTGGCTGCAAGGACAGCTGCCAGGGTCCCTGTGCTTAGTTCCTCTCACACACTGCGGATGCCATCTTTCTTGTGTGGAGCTCACCTTTCTAGATGGCATCAGCCTGGGGGAATGCATAGTCCCACCTCTGGACTCCCTGCAACCGCCTGCTGCAGAGCTCACACCCTGCAGAGGAATCAGCTGCCTAGGCCTAGGTGTAGAGGTCTGGGCAGACTCGGGGTGTCAGTGATTGAGTTGTGTGGGCAAAGGCCATTTTTCCCACCGTCCCAGTAGCCTGACTAGCACCTCCCACTAAGCCTTAGTGACTAAGGGGAGATCCACCAGCCCCACCCTTTGGGTTTTTGGTGACCCTGCACTGCCGATATTGAACTCTCTGGGAGGTCCAGGCAGAATCTGGAACAGGCTGAGTTGTGTGGCTCTAGGCCATGGCCATTTTTCCCTCACACATCTGACCATTGCCAAGCCCTCCCTTCACACAGCCAAATCTTGGTCTGTTTGGGCCTGATAAACTCTGCTGGCCTCATCCTGATGACTCCCTGACACCCTACTCTACCACAAAGGTCTGCAGGCACTGGCAAGTGGTGGGTAGCCTTGTTGTGCTCTGGGACGTTTGCTGAGTGGCCACAGACTCAGCACTGCCATGGAGGTTGAACCTGTATTGAGCTGGTGGACACCACTCACCCTGGTGACTCACTGAGAACCTAGCCCACACAACTCAAGTACCACCAGAGGCTCTTTCAGAAACTAGCCTAACAGGCAGCCAACAGCGGAGGCAGGTAGAAACAGGTGGAGGCCTTGTGCTGACCTGCCCTCAGGCTTCTTGCTGGTGGAAGCTATCCTTGGTGTACAGTTTGGTTCTCATGCAGAGGCAGCCACAAAGTAGATCACTCTGTAACTTCAAACAGGTTGCCCAGGGCCAGTCACAATCAGCGTCTGATATTGATCTGCACCAGACTCCCTCCCAGGAGGCCCCAGAACCAACACACCCAGTTGAGAGCTTCACACAACATCAGAGCAGAATCCAGTTAGCTTCAGAAGTGGCACATCCAAAGGGAGATCTCAACAGGCTCAAGAACCTGCTGAATCAAATTCTGCTGTGTGTGGTCAGCACCACACAGAAACAAATACAAAGAGGCAGCAAGATGCGGAGACAAATAACATGTCCCAAATGAAAGAACCATAAAAAAGAACCAGTCAGAAAGTAGAATACAATATCTGAAATGAAGAATACACTAGAGCCCTAGCTGGTTTTGCCCAGTGGATAGAGCATTGGCCTGCGGACTGAAAGGTCCCGGGTTTGATTCCGGTCAGGGGCACATGCCCGGGTTGCGGGCTCAGTCCCCAGTGGGGGGCATGCAGGAGGCAGCCATTCAATGATTCTCACATCTTTGATGTTTCTATCTCTCTCTCCCTCTCCCTTCCTCTCTGAAATCAATAAAAATAAATAAAAAGTATTTTAAAAAAAAAATACACTAGAAGGAGTAAACAATAGGTTAAATGAAGCAGAGGATTGGAATAATGGTATGGAAGACAAGGTAACAGAAAACATCTAATCATAGTAGCAAAAAGAAATTTTTTAAAAAAATTAGGGTAGTTTAAGAAACCTTTGGAACAACATGAAGTATAACATCCACATCATAGAGGTACCAGAAGGAGAGGAGCCAGTGGCATTGAGAATCTACTTGAAGAAATCTTCGTGCTTCTTTAAAAAGTTTGTTTAGCTCAAACTAGTCTCAACTTTAACTCCCATTTCCTGTGCCCCCTCTAGTTAGCCCTCTGCCCCATTACTCCATCAGAATTGTTCTACGTGAGGTTATAAGTGATATTTATGGTTCATTTTATGTTCTTAACTGAGCAGCTGCATATATTTGACCATTTCTTCCTCAAGACACTCCCTTCACTCGACCACTGTGATATTTTCTCCCTCCTCTGGGGCCATTTCTCAGTCTCTTATCTTTCTCTGCCTATTTAACCTCTAGCTGTTGGCATTTCTGTTTAGACCTGGGCTCTACTCTCCTTGTAAACCAATCAGTCATTTCATCCATTCCTTGTGGCTTTAAATCATTTGTGTAGTCATTCTCAGACTTATATCTCCAGCTTAGCCATTTCTTCTATTTTTCCCCTCTGGTAAGTTTTATATGACCCAGAAACACTTGCATTTCAAAGGATAGAAAGAAAATGTAATAAAATATTAATGGTGGTGAGATTATGGGTGATTTATATTTCCTCCTTTACTTGACTTTCTAAAGATTTTTCTATAGATCTTTGAAGTTTACAAAGCAATATCAAATATGTATTTAATTTAATTCCGACACTCAACAACAGTCCTCGAGTTCCTAGGTGTCATCTGGTAACTAGACTTCCCCAGTTTAACTGTTCTGGCTGCCAGGCAGTTACTTAGAGTGTTAATTTTGATCCTACAGGTGGATTTGACATGGAAGTTAAAGGTTGGGGTGGAGAAGATGTTCATCTTTATCGAAAATACTTACATGGTGACCTGATTGTGATTCGGACCCCGGTTCCGGGTCTTTTCCACCTGTGGCATGAGAAACGCTGTGCTGACGAGTTGACCCCTGAGCAGTACCGCATGTGCATTCAGTCCAAAGCCATGAATGAAGCCTCTCACTCGCACATGGGAATGCTGGTCTTCAGGGAAGAGATAGAGACACATCTTCGCAAGCAGGCATACAGGACAAATAGCGAAGCTGTTGGTTAACCTAACCATCGACACATTAGTCCGAACCATAAACCAGCAGCAAACCACAACCAGCACTATTTATTTAGCCTTAATTCCAGTGCCAGATGCAGTGCCTCTTTCAAAGAATACATGCTTGTCTTCTGTGCTCTTTCCGACATTACTTTACCGTAGCAGTATAACTTCATATGAGAAAAAAAGCAACTGTTTCAATGCAAAGCCTGTTTGTGAGAATATTGCACTATGGAATCATTGATAAATCAAAATTTGGTGTTTGGTCCCAAAGTCGTTTTGAGTTAGTTTGTACTCTGAGTCCATGTTCTGATGTTTCCTGGTTGCACCTGGGCTAAGGGATGGAATGTGTTGTGATGATGGTCAGTAAGGAGCATCCCGTTCCCGCAGAGGTAGAGAGTTACAGATGGAGTGTCTGGACAAGGGCTCTTCGCTGACCACTGAGTCAACTTGCTCGGTTTTTATTTTTATTTTTTTATTGACGAGAGAGAGAGAGAGAGAGAGAGAGAGAGAGAGAGAGAGAGAGATGGATATCAATCGTTGCCTCCCTTATGCGCTCTGGAGATTGAACCTGCAACCTAGGTATGTGCCCTGACCAGGAATTAAACCCGCAACCTTTGGTTGTTATAGGGGACAATGTTCCAACCAACTGGGCCACCTGTTGCTTGGTTTTTAAATGGAGATCTTTGGTCAGCTGCTTGAAGAATCCTTTTTCAGTGAAGCAGAGGACAATTACATGACACATCTGAAATCCCCAATCAGGAGGAGACAGAAGTAAAAACCCCTTAACTCCATGTTGCTTAGTCCCCTCAATGTCTGTTTTTAAACAAATGGGTAACTGTGGGAAATACTTAGATGAGAATCCATGACTTAATTAAAATATAAAGTGTTATTACTTTGTCATCATTTGGAGGATTAGAAGTCAAGTTGCTGTAGAGTGTAGACTGTTTTGAACAAACTGAAATCAACATGGAAATGTCTTAACAGACACTTACTGTGTTGGAGTACAGGACACTGGTGGTGTCTGGGAGCATCAGTGTACATGAGCCTGCACGATCAGGGCCATTAAGTGGTGGGTGGTTCAAAATAGATGAGCATAGCATGGTGCTGTGTGTGTTTGTCTTATCTCATTTAGCATGGGTTCATATGTATTTACTGTCCTTTCCTAATAAGTTAATATATGCTACATATGTATTTGCATTATAATACTTTGAGAGTTTCACTGAAGAGAGAAAAAAACAATTTAATGAGATATGTCATAAGATCACACTGATTTGAGAAAAGGGGAAGCCGTATGAAATCTGAATTCCAGAATTGTTTTAGAGATATATATTACTTGCAGATAGAATGATGTTTTGAGGTATAAATTATATTAATGAGAAAAGATAAATAAGAAATTATATTCAGATAGGATTATACTATGTTATTTATCACACATGGATCTTTTACCATAGGGTCAATTGCTAGATCCAGAAATTGGAGATACGGTGAAAGGCATGCATAGATTTTTGAATCTTTGGTTTTTAAAAAGGGACCTATGCTGTATTCTTTCTATTTGTATATAAACCTCTGAAAAATCACAGAAGAAAAGTCATTTCTCTTTTGGCTCAGTAAATCATACCATCTGAAACATTATAAACTCTAAATTTCTTGGTGCTACATGAATTCAATTTTACAATAACTCTTACTAATTATTCTTGTAAGTTTTAAGTTGGGGTAGCACTTAGGCTTGTTTTATTTTTGAAAATATGTAAAATGTCCAAAATTATTCAGGCTGTTGTCTCATTTTTATACAAGTATTTATTACAAAGACCAGTCAAAAGTGAGGGAACCTAATTATTTGCAAAGGTAAGTTTCAGCTTCTTTTTTGACATAATCAAATGATTTTATCTTTTCTTCTGTTTTTTTTAAACTAGCTTTTAATTTAAAGATGGAAGCTAAACAATGAAAACAGTACTATGTTTTTGACATTAAACGGTACCAATAAAGTATTTTTTATCAAAAATTAAATGAAAATGTGATAATTTCTTTTTGTTGTGAAATATAAGTATAGAAATGTGTAAAGCATGTAATTATGTACTTTAAAGAATAATAAAGCAACACCAGGGCACCAACTACCCAAATTAGGATATAGAACATTACCAGTGAAAGGTCTTCCGTGTGCCTCTTCTAATCACTTCCTGATTTTTGTGGTAATTTTTCTTCTTCTCTCTTTCTTTTTTTTTGTTTGTTTGTTAATCCTCACCAAAGGATTTTTTTTTTCAATTGATTTTTAGAGAGTGGAAGGGAGGGGGAGAGACAAGAGAGAAACATGGATGTGAGACACATCAATTGGTTGCCTCCCACACGCACCCCAACCTGGGCCAGGGATTGAACCTACAACCCAGGTGCATGCCCTTGATCAGGAATCGAACATGTGACCCCTTGGGTGTGTGGGCCAACGCTCTAACCACTGAGCACACCAGCCAGGGCCACTTGTTTTTCTTCTTAGTTTTCCCAACTGTGTATGTAGTATCTCTACCCAATGAACTGTTTAGTTTTTTAAATCCTCACCTGAGGACATGTTTACTGATTTTAGAACGAGAGGGAGAGAGAGAGAAAGAGAGAGAGAAACATCAGTGAGAGAGAAACATCAATGTGAGGGAGAAGCATAAATTGGTTGTCTCCATATGCGCCCCAACTGGGGGTTGAACTCACAGCGTAGGTATGTGCTCCCACCAGGAATCGAACCTCAACCCTTTTGGTGAAAGGACAATGCTCCAACCAACTGAGCCACCCAGCCAGGGCAGTTTTGCCTGTTTTTGAATTGATATACATACTAGAGGCCCAGTGCATGAGATTCGTGCACTGCAGGGGGAGGGTCCCTCAGCCCTGCCTGTGCCCTCTCGCAGTCCGGGATCCCTCACTCCTTACTGCCCACCTGCTCGCTGCTCCTTATGGCTTGGCTTGGTGCTCCTTAGTGCTGCCCTGGATGCGGGAGGCTCCCACCACCATCGTTGCACTTGCCAGCTGTGAGCCTGGCTTCTGGCTGAGTGGCGCTCCCCCTGTGGGAGCTCACTGACCACCAGGGGCAGCTCCTGCGTTGAGCATCTGGCCCCTGGTAGTCAGTGTGCATCGTAGCGTCCAGTCATTCTGGTCGTTCCGCCATAACGGTCGCTTAGGCTTTTATTACATAGATTATTTCATTATCTATTTTTAACTTGCATTCAGTACTATGTTTTTGAGGTTCACCCATGTTAATCTCAAAATTATTTTTATTACTGACTAGTATGCCACTATATGAATACAGTCATACACTGTAATGACCTATTGGTGAGTAATGGGTCGTTGTATATGACTGTGGTCCCATAGGATTATAATGGATCACACCATTGCATTTTAAACCAACTGTTCCCAAATGTTTTTTGAAACCCCACTATATGCTTAGTTAGCACCGTTCTAGACATGGAGTGCAACCGTGAACAAGAATAGTGGAGTTTATATTGTAGTTCTGGAGAGACAAGTTGTAGCACAATGCAGTAGTCACGTGTTTGTGATGATACTGGTGGAAGCAAACCTGTGCTGCCAGTCATACCATACAGTACAGTACATATACGTGATAATAAATAAGTATGTTACTGGTTTATGCATTCACTATACTTGTTACCATGATTTTAGAGTGCACTCCCACTTAGAGAAAGTCTGCTGTGAAACAGTGTGCAGCATAACGCTCACGTCTCATGTTTACTGCTTCTCTTGATTGCACCATTTTCTCTTGTGCTTGAGGGAATCTCATGGTGTAGTGTAGCCTGAGTGTACAGGGTGTGTGAAGTCTCCAGCAGTGCGCAGTCATGACCCGGCCTTGGCACTCACCCTCACTCACTGACTCACCCACAGCAGCCTCCAGTCCTGCCAGCTCCGTTCATGGTGAGTGCCCTACACGGTGTTCCACTTTATCTTTCATACTGTATCTTTACTGTGCCTTTTCTATATTTAGATATGTTTGGATACACAAATACTTACCATTCTGTTATAATTGCCTCCAGTATTCAGTCCAGTAACATGCTGTACAGGCTGTAGCCCAGGAGTAATGGGCTCTACCATATAGCCTAGGTGTGCAGTAGGCTGTACCATCTAGGTTTGCTAAGTGCATTCTATGATCGCAAAAGGATGAAATTGCCTAATGATACATTTCTCAGAATGTGTCCCGTCATTAAGTGGCATGTTCTGTATACTACACTATTTATTAATTCTACTGTTTATAGATACTTGAGTTGTCTATAGTTTTTGTTGCTTACTTTTGCTATCACAAGCAGTGTTTTTTGTTTGGTTTTTTAAAATATATTTCTTTATTGATTTCAGAGAGGAAGGGAGAGGGAGAGAGAAATAGAAACATCAATGATGAGAGAGAATCATTGATCAGCTGCCTCCTGCACGCCCCCTACTGGGGATCGAGCCTGCAACCCAGGCATGTGCCCTTGGCCGAAATCGAACCTGGGACCCTTCAGTCCGCAGGCCGACGCTCTATCCACTGAGCCAAACCGGCTAGGGCAGCAGTGTTTTTATAAATACTATTTTATGGGGCTCTTACAGTGTGCGAGAACTTCTCCAGGAGGGATGATGCTGGGTCATTCATTCAGCTTACTCTCCCAAGTACACTGACCACAGCCCGCACTGTGCGAGAGTTCACTTCGCACTCTTGCCAATGCTTAATTTTGTCAGGCTTATTAATTCTTCTAATCTAGCGGGTTTAGGCATGAATTATAATTTGCATTTCCAGTCTTTTTGTCCATTTTTAACAGTTCATAGGAATTTTTCACATATTCCGGATACCAATTCTTGTTGGTTACATGTTTGCAAATATCTTCTCCCAGGATGTGTCCTTTCCCATTCTTGATGGTACTTTTTGATGAATAAAAATTAATTTTACTGTGACTAATCTTCTTCCTTTATGTATTCTACTTTTTATTATTGATGTATGCCCTCAAAGGGAAGGATGTCTTAAAGCTATGTTCCTTTCTTCTGCTGCTGCTTCCCCCTCCCCCCACTCCCCTTTCCCCTTCTCCCCCCTCCTTGCCGTCACTGCTGCAGCCTCCTCCTCTTTTTTTTTTTTTACCAAGGAAGTTGGACTTAATGATGCACTTTAGGGGGGTTACATTGTTCTCCACTCCTCAGCTTTCCCAGGGCAATCCTCCAGGCCTCTTGCCTCATTCCTCACTCAGACCTCCCCTGGGGGAGAATGGGAAAGAGGCAAAACCCATCTGATTCTGTCATCTGCTTAATCTAAACCCAGAAGAAATATGAACCAAAATGTATTTTATTTCATTTAATTCAATTTATTAGACCGGCATTGATTAATAAGATTATATAGGTTTCAAGTGTATACTTCTATGATACATGACCTGTATATTGCATTGTGTGCCCACCACCCAAAGTCAAATCATCTTCTGTCACCAAATATTTGGCCCCCTTTACGAGCTCCCCACCCCTCTTCCCTCTGGTAACCACCATACTGTTTTCTGTGTCTATGAGTTTTAGTTTTATATCCCATATATGAGTGAAATCATATGGTTCATAGCTTTTTCTGACTGACTTACTCACTTAGCATAATATCCTCAAGATCCATCCATGATGTTATAAATGGCAATATTTCAGTCTTTCTTACAGCCGAGTAGTATCCATTGTATGTATGTACCACATCCAATCATCTATCCAAAGACACTTCGATTGTTGCCATGTCTTGGCCACTGTGAATAGTGCTGCAATGGACATAGGGATGCATATATCTTGGTGAATAATACTATCTTCTGAATACCTCAAACATGGCTTTGCTTTTCCCAGTTAGAGCTTTAACCTAAGTAGGAGAGATTTTGTGAATTTGTGTGAGGTAATGATTACATTTTACTTCTTTCCAGCATCACCTTACTGTAAGGTCCATATTTTACCCACTGACCTGCAAAACCACTCTCATCCATACTTTCACGGGTCTGATTTGGGGTCTCATCTGTTCAATTAGGCCATCACCATGCCATTTCATCACAGTCTAACTTCTGTAACCTAATACAAGTCATCATCTCTGAGAGCTTGCCCTGTTCTTAAAGATTGTCTATTCGAAGCCTTGGTACTTTCATATAAGTTTTAGAATAAGCTTATTAATTTTCACAAAAACTTTTATGAATTTGATTGAAGTCTCATTGAATCTATAAGGTCACTGGAGAAAATTCACATTTTTATGCTATAGAGTCTGCTAATCCTTGAATGTGAACTATCTGTTTAGGTCTTTATTGTCTTCAATTAAGTTTTATACTTTTAATATAGTGGACTTAAACAAGTATTATTTTTAAATTTTTCCTAGATGTTTTGCATTTTTGATGCCACTGTAACTATCTTTTATTTTTATTGCTTATTGCTGGTGTCTAGAGAAAAATTTGATTTTTATGTTCAGCAACTTTGCCAAAAACACTTAATTCTAAAATGTATTTGTAGTTTCTTTTGCATTTTTTGCCTTATATAATCATATATGAGTAGTGAACCTTTTGTTTCTATCTTCAATTTTTATATCTTTTTTTTGTCTTACTATGCTAAATAGGATTTGTCACGCAGTGCTGACTGGAAGTGATAATAGTGAACTTCCTGGAAGCCCATGTTTCCAAAGCCCTGGGGAATGTGCTGTGTTTCATCACTAAGTGTGATATTCACGGGAGGTATTTTTGTAAGCACCCTTTTATAGAGTTAACAGAGTTACCTTCTATCACTGCTTGGCGAGTTTTTATCATGCTGGAGAGCGTTTATCAAATACTTTTACTTTATTAAGATGATCGTGATTTCTTTTCTATCTTTAATATGTTAAATTGGTGAAATGAGTTAATCAGTTTTCTGAAGTACCCTTGCATTTGTGGGGTTATGATGTGTTATCTTTATTACACACTAGAGCAGTGATGGCAAACCTTTTGAGCTCGGCGTGTCAGCATTTTGAAAAACCCTAACTTAACTCTGGTGCCGTGTCACATATAGAAATTTTTGGATATTTG